AATTTTTTAACAAGTTTAAAATATGATAAATATTAAAACTTTGAAAAGCTGAAAATTATGATATTTTATTTAAGTTTTATAGAATATTAAAATAATGAAAATATTTAAATTCTACAAAAATTAATAGTATTATTAATATTTTAGTTCTACAAATATTTAAAATATAATATATTGTACATAAATATGATTGAACGGGTTTGAGTTTACATAAATATGATATATTTTCTGCGGGTTGTCTATATTTAAAATATTTTACGGGTTAAGTTAAAATATATTTTTTTATTTACAACAAAATCGTTTCGTGATGTACCGTCGGTTTACCACATATATTTATGAATCTACTTATAATACAAATTCATGAAATTATATTAAATTAAATGAAATAAACATGTATAAAACTAAACTATATAAACCAAATACGAAAATGATCAACCAAAGAAATATATTAAACTATGGACCCGTGGTGTACCACGGGTTAAATCCTAGTGTCAAAGTTCTTAAAAGATCCCAACAGAATGACATTTAGAATGTACTAATAATCTATTTTGATATGTTTTCTATAAACAGTCCCATTTTTGTAGTGTATAAATAACAGTTCTTTTATAAAATTATTATTCTTCTTTTTGTAGTGTTTCATGTCACTAGCCATGTGTTTTGATCAGTCTTGATTGTAACTTGTAGGTTCACAATGATCTATTGTTGTTACCGCCATAACTATTCATTTAGTTCACTCATATAAGAAAACTATATCTTATATACCTACATATATAAATATGTATATATATTTATTGCTTGCTTGAATCAATGTATAATCAAGTTAACAAAACAGATAGGAAGCTTGAAGATTAGAGAAACGAAATAAATCACAAGGTCATAGGCTAAGCCACATGTGCGTGAAAAAAGCCCTAACCTTGGCCACTGGCCAATGCATGGCATATTCATATATTCATCATATCCTTCTGTATTAGAATTATTCGTCTTTAATATTCATCTTAATTACTATACTAGGTGTATACGTAAACATGGACCGTATGATCCGAGTTGAAGATCCCCATATCCATATGATCATGATTCATGACCATATGGGTCTTTTTTTCTCTAACATTATCATTCTCCAAAAAATATAAACCCTTGCTTACGGAACAATCAAAAATTGAATACGAGGGGTTTAGTTTAATCATACTAATATATAGTTTTAGTGTCTCGGGATCGTTCATAAATGATGTATAAGTCAACATTGGCATAGAGACACATGGAGCAGTCGATTTTACTCAAGTGTACCACACGATGCAACACAATGGCGCGTTACACATAGAGACATCATATTATATAATAAAAAATCTCATATTAATCTCCGGCGAGTCTTGCTTTTTACGATAGCTTTTTGAGCACCTCCGTCGCCGTGGTCACCGGCCGTCAACTTCACCCATCACCATCATCAACATCAACATGCATCATCATCGTACATTCAAATACCCGATCATTTAATTATAACACCGTTGACAATTACATGTGTGTGTATGTGTATAAATATATAATCAAGAACTTAGAAAGAAAGGCAGTGTTTATATGTTTTAAGAAGCTGTCTTAAATTGTAGACAAGAGAGAAAGGAAAACGTAAAAAACCGAAATGGGTTCGTCGTCGAACGGAGGAGTGCCACCTGGTTTCCGGTTTCATCCGACCGATGAAGAGCTTCTTCATTACTACTTGAAGAAGAAAATCTCTTACCATAAGTTTGAGATGGAAGTCATTAGAGAGGTTGACTTAAACAAGCTTGAGCCTTGGGATTTACAAGGTAGTACTCTTTTTCACTTATTTCAACTCATTAATCAAGAAGATACCACAAATCTTTGAGATCTTGATAGCTCTCTTCAACTTCTTGATTGTTCGATATAACATTTATGAATACTAGTATGTGATCCAATTCTCTAACTTTGTATGCTATTTTTGTTTGGCAGAGAGATGCAAGATTGGCTCAACACCGCAAAATGAATGGTATTTTTTCAGCCATAAGGATAGGAAATATCCGACAGGGTCGAGGACAAACCGTGCTACTCATGCAGGGTTCTGGAAGGCGACGGGTCGTGACAAGTGCATAAGGAACTCTTACAAGAAGATAGGAATGAGGAAGACACTTGTGTTCTACAAAGGAAGAGCTCCTCATGGGCAAAAGACTGATTGGATCATGCATGAGTACCGTCTTGAAGACGCTGATGATCCTCAAGCCAACCCTAGTGTATGTCTTTATTCATTTGAGCAATCTTTAGAAATCTTTCAATTATAATATAGATCATTATCATTATCAAGAACATTTTTGAGAAATTAGCAAGTGCAATTGCACAAAGTCTTTGATAATTTCGAAACAAAAATTTCTAATATGTTTTAATAAAAACAAAATTTAAAGGCTTATGATTTCTTCAAAATTCTTTATACAATATCAAAATTACCACACCTTAGATAAATCTTGTATATATACATATATATATATTAATTATTTTTATTTTTTTGTAAAATTGTATAAATTGAATGAATATTATTTAATCTATTTGCTATGGAATATTATTTAATCCATTTGCTATGGAACATTATTTAATCCACATATATAATTTTATTTAGTTATGTGTACATTGGTATGAAAATGAAGGAAATGCAATTTTTTATTTTTTTTATTTTTGTGTGTTAGCAAGTGTAATTTTTTATAATATTATTTGATCCATTTGCTAAATTATATTTTATGATATTATAGGAAGATGGATGGGTGGTTTGTAGGGTGTTCATGAAGAAGAACTTGTTCAAGGTAGTGAACGAAGGTGGCTCAAGCATTAACTCATCGGACCAACACATCCACGAAGCATCCAACAACAACCACACGCTTCAAGCTCGTAGCTTCATGCACAGAGACAGTCCATACCAGCTAGTACGTAACCATGGAGCCACAACATTCGAACTGAACAAACCTGACCTTGCTCTTCATCAATACCCACCAATCTTCCACAAGCCACCCACCCTTGGATTTGACTACTCTTCAGGACTTGCAAGGGACTGTGAGAGTGCAGCTAGTGAAGGGTTACAATACCAACAAGCATGTGAGCCTGGTTTAGAGGTTGGTACTTGTGAGACAGTGGCTAGTCAAAATCATCAACAAGGTTTAAGTGAATGGGGAATGATGGATAGGCTTGTGACTTGTCATATGGGGAATGAAGATTCCTCAAGAGGGATTAGGTTTGAGGATGGTAACAACAATGCTTCTTCTGTTGTTCAGCCAGCTCCTACGACGAACCAGCTTACATTGCGAAGTGAGATGGACTTTTGGGGGTATTCTAAATAGATGTTTATATGTCTTATGACTATGTAAGTGTTGTATGTGTGTGTGTTATTGATTACATATTTTACTTATTGGTTGGAAGCAAATTGCTTCACAAAACCCAAATTTATATTTATCTACTGTTGGAATGAATAAGAACATGATTGATTAGTGTAAGAGTTTTATTTGCTAGTTAATCTCGCCACTAGTTGTGAATTTGTAATACAGAACTGTCTTGGTAACAAGTTGTTACTAGCAACAAATGACTACTAGATGTATAACAAAAGGTAACGATGTTATCGACAGTCGCGAAGTATGACTTTGTATATCTATAACCGCAAACGTAAATGCGGTATTAGATAGCTATCCTTAGAAGCATATGATAAAGCACCAATGAAATATATAGGAGATTCAGATGAAAGTTTTTAACATTGTCAAAAGAAGTTCCAATGGAACAAAGTGTACATTTTGGAAGCTCTTAGAAAACATAAAATGGCTTAGAGAGTAGGAGCTCTCTCGGCAGTTCCAGCGATAACGGTAAGCAAATTGTTTCCGAAAGGATCACTGAGATGCTGTGCAAGGTTCTCAACTGGACCTTCACCAGTAACATAAGCTTGGATGAAGAAACCGAGCATCGCAAACATGGCTAATCTCCCGTTCTTGATCTCTTTAACCTTGAGAAGTGCTCCTTGCTCAGGGTCCTTAGCCAAGCCCAAAGGATCAAATGGACCTCCTGGGTGTAGCTTGTCCTCAAAGTCCTGCCAATGCATTTCAAAGGTTAGTCATTCATCTATGAGGAACATGAACTAGTAAAGAGAGTAATGTACCAATCCGTTGGTGATTCTGTAGTACTCAGCTCCACCGAGGAGAACAACTTCAGCAACTACGGCGAGAACAAGGTTGATTGGGATGTTCTTGCCAAAGTAGTTCAATGTGTTTCCATCAAGAAGCAACGCACCAGTCTGCATTGTTATACCAATTAAGATTCATCATTCATCCCATCACATAACACATTCTTGCTTTGTTATATAGAATCTAAGACACTTGAATGTTCATAAAGATGAGAAGTAGGCAAGAACCTTGAACCAAACAGCTTCAGGACCACAGTTAGCACCGTATTTGTTTAAAGCTTCAGGGATGATGAAACCAGCAGCTCCCAACATAGCCCATCTTGCGTGGATCAATTCAAAGGCTTGGTATCTACAACCATATTCATTATACTAACCAGTCTTAACAACAGATTCAATAGATTGAGATGGAAACAGAGAAACAGGTTTAAGGATATAAGAATCTGCTTACTTAGCAAAGTTCTCAGGCTTCTTTCCAAGACCAAATGGGTCATAACCATAACTGCAATTTCAGAACCAATAAAACCTTAAGCACCAAACCCAAACGTATAAAAAACATACAAAGAGAGACATGAACAAGTGTCTTACTCTCCAGCAACTTCACCGTTTAAGTACTCTGGGATTTCTGATCTGTCCAAAAGACCATCCGGCAAGAAAATTCTCCTGTCAGGACCTGGACAAGAATCACAATCATTACAAACACATTTCGTAACAGAGCAAAAAAAATGATTTTGAAAGGGATGTAGAAGACACATACCATACCACTTGGCGAGCTCGTCGTTAGTCTCAGAGATGGCCTTGGACTTAGCAGGAGGAGCTGGCTTTTTCTTAGAGAAGAGAGCAACTGTCTTGAACGTGGCCGGGCTTGAAGCCAACGGAGCAGACGATCTTGAAACTGCCCTGAAGTTAAGGGGAGTACCAAGCATTTCCGACACACCCAAAGACGCCATCTTTTTTAACTCCAAAGTTTCAAGCTTTACTCTGGTTTAACACTAGGGAGGAGCTAAGTGAAAGAAGGAAGAGACGAAACTGGTGCTATAAGGTGGAGAGTAAGGATTCGTTCAGGATTTTGATTGGTCTGTATTGAAAATGTGAAATATGATTCTTTGCTCTGATTGGTTGATGATGCTGATGTGGCTCTAAGATGGGTTTTTGTTGGATAATCTATTTTATCCCTATCCTCTGTTTCTTCTCTTTTTTGTGTGGCTTAGCTTTCACCTATACTTGCCAACTGTGTTACAAGAATCTCAAACACATGAACATCTAAACTGTGTAATGTCATCCACAAGCCTTACACAGTCTTTAGTTTGGCTTTTCAGTAAATTCCTTGGGACATTTGGAATCATTGTGGTCCTGTGGACGACGATCGAAAGGCAACTCAATGGTTAGATTTCAGCATGGGATCATTAGTTGGGACTACCCCTTTACACACCAAAAAAAACGAATTGGAGCATCCGACTTGTCTCGGAATGAACAAAAGCCTTTTGGAAAGAACTTCCCGCAACTCTACGACGAGTAAAGCATTTGGATCGAAACTCAAGTGATCTACTGACTTAGTTAGCGCAGGGTGATCGAAACTCGAGTGATTTACTGGCTTAGTTAGCACAGTGTTCACACCCGGTTGGATCAAACCATAACGAATTTATGACATTGACCCTTGAGATGAGATCACTATGCCACTAAGCAGGTTCAACCTTTTCACAATTGGGTTATACCAAAAGCTCAAACCCATACTTCACATTGGCGTTTGTGATGATTCACGCTTCACCATATACACCAACAAACAGAAACCAGAACTCACAACAATATACACATTACTAGAATGATAAATCTGCCATATAAAATTACGTGAATCCGTCTTCATACCATAACCAATTATACATAACGAAACGAGATCCACTACCCCGAGTCTCTACATTCTCGATCTAAAGAACATAGCAGCAACACTAACATTTTTACTTATCAGCTGCAAGCAAGCTAAACTACTGCTAATGTTCATCATTTAATCCACTTGTCGATCTCATTCGTAGTAGCTTTCACAAGCTTCTTGGTACTAACAACAAGTTCATCAATAAGAGCATCAACTTCATTCCTGTCAAACAAAATCAACAAACAAATCATCATCATCATCTTCTTCAAACTACAGTAACCAAATCAAAAAACACATAAAGACATGATTTTTAATAACTCACAGAGATGGTTTCCCAACGTTATAATAAGAACGAGAGTGATCATAAGCAGCTCCTCTCCCAACACCATAGCCAAAACCTACACCAATTCCACAACCAGCTCCAAATCCTAACCCAAACTGTAATCCAGGTACTCCTGGTCCAAATCCTACACCTGTTTCAATCAAATCAATCTCTCAAAACTCAGTTTAAACTCAACGATACACATCTATCTCTATATCAGCTCCGACCAATTCATAAACTCCGGCCGATCAAAAAATTATAAATTTACCTCCGATAAGACCGGCGCCGAACCCGACTCCGCAACCTACGCCGAGTCCAAAGGCTGGACCAACTTTTCCGATGTCTTTGACTCTGACTTGAGGAAGTTTCCAGAGCAATCCTTTGTCATCGTCTCCGACTCTTCTTCTGCTGCTCATCGTCGTCGTCCCTCTCTGTCGTCTCTTTCTCCGTGGATTTCGCTATTACATACTTTAATTGGGCCTATATTAATAAGGCCCATTTTTATTGTTAATACGCTAGATTCTTTGGGCATTTTCGTTTTGGGCTTACTCACTAGCTTTAAAAAGGTTCACCCCGGCCCATTAAGAAGATTGAAAAAAAAAGTTGAGAAAAAAAACTGACTAAAACTTCAACTTCTAACGCCTAGGACTTGATTGATATCATTTCATCTGCGCCGAACGAGAAATCTTCAGAAACCCTAATTTCGTGAGCGGATTGATTCGTCAGTATCCGCCATGGAAGATGTATGCGAAGGTAAAGAGTTCTCATTCCCTCAGCAAGAAGAAAATGTCCTCTCGTACTGGACTCAAATCGATGCTTTCAAGACTCAGCTCAAACGGACTGAGAATCTCCCGGAGTATATTTTCTACGACGGACCTCCGTTCGCCACCGGACTTCCTCACTACGGACATATTCTCGCCGGTACGATTAAAGATATCGTGACGAGGTATCAGTCCATGAATGGTTACCATGTCACTCGTAGGTTCGGGTGGGATTGTCATGGCTTACCTGTTGAGAATGAGATTGATCGGAAGTTGAATATTAAGAGGAGAGATGAAGTTATTAAGATGGGAATTGATAAGTATAATGAAGAGTGTAGGAGTATTGTGACCCGTTATGTTACTGAGTGGGAGAAGGTTATTACTAGGACTGGTCGTTGGATTGATTTCAGGAATGATTATAAGACTATGGATTTGCCTTTTATGGAGAGTGTTTGGTGGGTTTTTGCTCAGCTTTTTGATAAGAATCTTGTGTACAGAGGCTTCAAGGTTTGTTTTGCCTTTCTCTTCCTTGCATGATTTCTGTTGTTTGAATTTGGTGAATCGAGATTCTTATTTGTTTTACTTGATTGCAGGTTATGCCGTATAGTACTGGTTGTAAAACTCCTTTATCTAATTTTGAAGCTGGTCAGAACTACAAGGTGCGTGGCTTCAGCTGTTGTTAATGTTTGATTGTCTTCTGTTGTATAATTTGATCTCTGATATTGGTAGAATGGGTGTACAGGAAGTGCCAGATCCAGAAATCATGGTGACTTTCCCAGTTATTGGAGATCAAGATAATGCTGCTTTTGTGGCATGGACTACTACTCCGTGGACTCTTCCAAGCAATCTTGCTTTGTGTGTCAATGCAAAGTTTGTCTATGTTAAGGTTCGTAATAAGAACACTGGAAAAGTGTATGTTGTTGCTGAATCTCGGTTGTCAGCTCTTCCCACTGATAAGCCCAAAGCCAAGTTAAGTAATGGACCTGCTGGTGATACCAAGAAAGCAAACCCTAAAGCAAAAGGTGCTAAACCTGACAGTGCAGCTGATTCTTTTGAAGTTCTGGAGAAATTTAATGGAGCTTCCCTGGTTGGGAAGAAGTATGAACCTTTGTTTGATTACTTTAGCGATTTCTCAAGTGAGGCCTTTCGAGTGGTTGCAGATGATTATGTCACTGATGACAGTGGTACTGGTATTGTCCACTGTGCTCCTGCCTTTGGTGAAGATGATTACCGTGTTTGTCTTCAGAACAAGATTATTAAAAAGGTTAGATTCGACGACATTCTCCATATCAATGTACTTTATTTTTCTTGATATCGATTTCATGACTAGAAAATATCATGTAATGTCATTCAGTTTGGATTATTTGATCTTAGATTTTGGGTTGGTACTTCCTGGGGATTTTGTAGAAATGCTCATTTGTTGTTACTCTTTCTCTTGTTTAGGCTTACAGTATAGTCAAGTACCCTTGCTTGTCTAATCTACTAATCTTGCTTTATCTCATTGTGTTAAATGTTCTTCTAAATGGTTTTATCCTTACGTGCAGGGTGAAAATTTGGTTGTTGCTGTTGATGACGATGGGTTGTTTACTGAGAGAATTACGCACTTCAGTGGCCGTTATGTTAAAGATGCAGACAAGGATATAATTGAAGCTGTTAAGGTGATTACTGATGCCTAATGTTTGTTATAGGCCATGATTAATCGGTTAAGGTTATAATGATCTGCCATACTTCTTCGAGAATTATTAAGTGCAATTTGGACCATTGGATTTACTATAGGTAATTTATATTCATGAAGTAATATTATTTTGTTATTTCAGGCCAAAGGCAGGCTTGTTAAAACAGGGAGCTTTACTCACTCATATCCATTTTGCTGGAGATCAGACACCCCTCTTATATATAGAGCAGTTCCGAGTTGGTATGCTTCATGTTTTATATGAGCTTGAATTAAGGTCTTAGTAGTTTGATCAGCCAGTGCTAGTTTTAGCGAGGCACTTTGTCTTTTTAGGCATTGTCTTGAACTTTGGGTGAGAAGATGTAGGATTTTGTCATGTACCTGTTCTTTTGGCGTAAATGATGATTGAAAGGTTTTTTCGTATAATTATATCCCCTCTTGTAAGATATATGAGCTCTTTTTGTGTATATAACCAAACTGTTTATGACATTTTGATTCTCCATGTTTCATTTATCTATTTTAGCTTTCATATGTAGTGAGTATCTAACCTAAATGGCATGCAGAAATTAGCAGAAAGATGATATGAACCTTGTTCTATCATTTTCATGTGTGGTTAGGACTATAAATTTTGTTTGTGGTTAATCTGTTAGGTTTGTGCGCGTGGAGCAGATGAAAGAACAGTTGTTAGAAAGCAATGGCGAGACACATTGGGTACCTGATTATGTGAAGGTCGGTAGAAGAAAGGAATACTCTCAGTATATGTTACTAGTTTGTTTAGATAAGAGTCTGATATGAATAAATTTTCCCGATTAATATGCAATTCAGGATAAACGTTTTCACAATTGGCTCGAAAATGCAAGGGATTGGGCTATTAGCCGAAGTAGATTTTGGGGCACACCTCTTCCGATATGGATCAGTGATGATGGGGAGGAAGTTGTCGTTATGGATTCTGTGGAGAAGCTTGAAAAGCTCTCTGGTGTCAAGGTCTCTTCTTTTGTTGTTTGCATTTCTTTGTTTTATTTCTGTCTCTGTTTCTGCTGTAAGTACCTGTTATATACTATTGGTTGAAAACAAATAAATGTCAATATAGAAAATGGCTCATTGATGCTTAGGGAAAGTACTGTCCTATATATGGAATTGTTGTGGTGGATATTTGCTGCTACTCATCTGCTGGATAACTCAATATTCTGTCTGATATCTGACTAAATATATATCTAGAAGTCTTCTTTATATGTTCTGTTCAACTTTAAGGATATCCTGTGGGGGTTTGTTATTTTCTATTTGCTGGAGTATGTAGTTGTCAAAAAGTTGGATACTCATTTGTTTTTCTAATGATTCATAGTGCAGGTCTTTGATCTGCATCGTCACCATATTGATCAAATTACAATCCCATCTAGTCGTGGCCCTGAATTTGGTGTGCTACGACGTGTAGAAGATGTAAGATGGATCAAATTTCTTTCATTTATCAATAATCCATGATTGTTTGGGTTATTATCCCATGCTTACAACTATATTACGCTTCATCAGGTTTTTGATTGTTGGTTTGAGAGTGGGTCAATGCCTTATGCATATATCCATTATCCATTTGAAAACAAGGAGCTATTTGAGAAGAACTTCCCTGGTCATTTTGTGGCTGAAGGGCTTGATCAAACTCGTGGATGGTATGTCGTTCCATATCTTGACTGTGGCGAGAATTAAATATAAGCCATTATATTAGTTAAGCTTCAGATTTGAAATGATTTTATTTATATTATGGTGGCAACATGGAATGGAGTTTAATCTTTTAACCTTCTCGGAATGCAAATCTTAGTTGGTGTTTATTGTGTTGAGAGGAGTCAACTCAAGATAGGTGCTAAGAAACCATATGATTTTAGTTCTCATATGTTTTCGAGAAGGGAATTCTACATTGACATATCCTTTAAGCTCTTCTGACAGATTATCTCTTGCTTTAAATTTGGGTTTGTTCCATCCCTCTACTGTATGGGATGATCTGGATCTTAATTACACTAAATGATTGCACTTAATTAAGTAATGAGTCGAAGCTAAGGGAAGGTCTGAACAGTGTACTATGAAATAACAAATGTGATTCTATAAGTGGTTTTAATAACGGCATAGTAAGCTTTAATTCATTTCTACTAAATAGGCTCTAAACTATTATCTGACCTTGTGGTTTGGTATCTACAGGTTTTATACTCTTATGGTGTTATCTACTGCATTATTTGGAAAACCAGCATTTAAAAATCTGATCTGCAATGGTCTTGTGCTTGCTGAGGATGGAAAAAAGATGAGTAAGAAATTACGGAATTATCCACCACCTTTGGAAGTCATAGATGAGTATGGGGCTGTAAGTTTTCCCTATAATATGCTCTTATACTGCGTTTGGAGCTTTTTTTTCAAATGTTCTCTAGCTATGAAAATCTTGGCAGCGTGTGTAAGGCATGACTTAGTGACTCTAAGTAAACCTTGACAGGATGCTGTGCGATTGTACCTGATAAATTCTCCGGTTGTACGTGCTGAGACATTACGCTTCAAAAAAGAAGGAGTACTTGGTGTTGTGAGTGATTTTGGTGTTTAATTTTATTACTGCTTATTTGAGTAGATTTGTTGTTTGTCTGAATTTTGCTGCTCTTCCATTGGGATTCACTAGGTCAAAGATGTTTTCCTTCCATGGTACAATGCATATCGGTTCCTTGTTCAGAATGCAAAGAGAGTTGAGACTGAAGGTGGTGAACCCTTTGTTCCTACTGATATGGCAACGTTACAGTCAGCAAACGTTCTTGATCAGTGGATTCACTCAGCTACGCAGAGTCTTGTCCGTTTTGTCCGTCAGGAGATGGATGGATATCGGCTTTACACTGTAAGGATTTTACATGTCATTTTAGCCTGATATGGTGGTGTTTGTATTTAAGAAAACTTTAGCAATCTCTCTTAATATCTATCACCTCTTTGTTTTTCTTTATCTTTTTAGGTGGTTCCTGAGCTCTTGAAGTTCCTTGACAATCTCACGAACATATATGTTAGATTCAACCGCAAGAGGTTAAAAGGCCGTACAGGAGATGATGATTGTCACACTGCTCTTTCAACTCTATTTAATGTATAGCAAAATTAGTTGCAGGGATACTTTCTGTTTGCATGGTCATCATCATTTCATCACTTGTTATGACTAACAATTTTCTATTTTCAGGTGCTACTTACTTCTTGCAAAGTGATGGCCCCTTTTACACCTTTCTTCACTGAAACTTTATACCAGAATCTGCGGAAAGCATGTAAAGGATCTGAAGAAAGCATTCATTACTGCAATATTCCACCAGAGGAAGGAACGGTAAGACTCAAGTCCACATCTCTATATCCAAGGATAAAATATAATTTTTTTGAATTATAGCTCACTTATATTTTCTTCTCATGTTTAACAGGGCGAGGAGAGGATTGAACAAAGTGTTAAAAGGATGATGACAATCATTGATCTAGCTCGGAACATTCGTGAGCGTAACAAACTACCCTTGAAAACTCCTCTAAAGTGAGTGTTGGTACTTTATTTTTTCAGTTTCCTCTTTGTTAGCCTAAAACATGAAAAAATTCATACATGCTTGTCCTTGTTGTATCAGGGAAATGATTGTGGTCCATCCGGATGCACAATTCTTGAATGACATAACTGGAGTACTAAGAGAGGTTGGTGTTACGGAACTGTAGTTTATCGTTTGGAAGTTTAATTAGTATTATATATATGATATTCTAATTTTTTGAAATTGTTGTTGAGGACCATTTGAAATTAGCAAATGGAAGAGAAATGCTCAAGGGTCCAGGAGTCCTGAGTGCATACTAGGCTTTTCACATCAACTAATGTTTCTCCTTACATTCAAGGAACTGATATGTAGGATTTATCCTTTTTGATTTTGCATTGCAGTATGTCTTGGAAGAACTTAACGTAAGATCTCTTGTACCATGTGATGATACTCTGATGTATGCATCTGAAAAAGCAGAACCAGATTTCAGGTTGGTTAAAGTTTCTTCCTGTTTTTTTAGTTTAAATGTTAAACTCAATGTGCTTTAGCCTTTCCAAAAGAAATGTACAATGAAATTTTACACGTTCATTCCTGCAGTAAATTGGGAAAGCGACTTGGAAAGTCGATGGGGATTGTTTCAAAGCAAGTTAAAGAAATGTCTCAAAAAGATATCTTAACATTTCAGAAGGCTAAAGAAGTTACTATTGCTAACCACTTGCTAAAGCTAGACGATATCAAGGTCTCTCATGCTATGGTGTTTTCCTGTGAGATAGCCTGCAGAATATGTTGTTACTAGCTAAATTCTGACACATCTTTTATATGTTGTTCAGATTGTCAGGGTTTTCAAACGCCCAGAAGGTTTGAAAGAGAATGAAATTGATGCAGCTGGAGATGGTAAGAATCATAAATAACTACCACTTCTCTATGGTCAATTTTTTTTTGTGAATCTTGATTGTTTATCGGTATATTGGTAAGGATACATATGATATTTGCTTTCGTTCATGATGCAGGTGATGTTTTGGTTGTTCTTGATCTACGAGCAGATGAATCTTTGGTTGAAGCAGGTGTTGCCCGAGAGGTAAATAGACTTAACGTCTAATACTGTACTAGACCTAGATGAAGCAAAAGCAATACAGTTTCGTATGCCTTGTATATTTACTCTTTTTTCTGTATCTAAACATTCTCTTGCCAGATATCCTTTTTCTGTATCTAAGCATTCTATTTCCAGAGAAAACATCTGTTTTCTGATGCTGTGCTCATGGGCTTTCTTTCCCCGTGTTATAGATTGTCAATAGGATCCAGAAACTGCGGAAAAAGTCAGGTCTGGAACCAACAGACTGTGTGGAAGTATACTTTGAATCATTGGACGAGGATGACTCTGTTGCGAAACAAGTTATTAACTCTCAGGTAACTGGTTTTGGTTGGTTACTCAAATTCATGTTCACTTAAGTACTACTTGAAATATCTTAGCTGTGTTTCTAACAGGAATATTCTCAACCACATATGCCTTACGTCTTTCTCATCATTCTTGTTTGTTGGACAGGAACAAAGCATTAAGGATTCAATTGGCTCCCCTTTGCTTCTGTCCACTTTGATGCCATCACATGCAGTAAGTCATCAACACTCCCGCATCTACTATTGTTTTTGCACAGCAGAAGCTTAATGTTTATCCTCCTATCTTTTATATAACAGGTCATAATAGCCGATGAGACATTTACCCCAAAAGAAACATCCGATGAGAGTGTCCAAAAGGCTCCAAAGTTGTCATATAAGATAAGTTTGGCCAGACCAGCTTTGAAGTTCAATGAAGAGGCTGTTCTTGCTTTATACTCAGGTGAGTCACCATCTCATCACAATGGATGCCCACCATCAATTCTCTCATTCTCTCTCTAACAAGTCCAACTATGGTTCCAGGAGATGTGAAATCTGCAACCGGGCTCCAAACGTATTTGCTATCGAGGGACCATGTTAACTTAAAATCAGAGTTCCAAGCTGGAGATGGGAAGGTTTGTTTGTGCCACTCAAAATGCTGATCGCTAGTCAAACCTTTTGATGATAACCCAAATTGTTAATACTTTTATTCACTTTCATGTATCTTGTGTTGCAGATTACTGTAAGCTGCATCGAAAACTTGCCTGCTGTGACTCTGGTTCTTGGTGAACATCTTCATTTGAGTGTCAGCGACGACTTGTTAAGCAAGAGAAATGCATGAGCTTCCTCTCGATTTTGTATTTGATTGTGTGGTAACATTTCAACCTTTGAATTCTCATTTCTTTTTCCATATCTTTAACTTTTAAGTATTTCTTTAGATTGTTGCAAAAAAAAAGGTTAACATCATTGTTGAGACTCTGTATTCGTTCTATTTGTACAATACTAAACTTATCTCAAAATATTTACCATGTGATGTCTCCAGTGACCAAAGTTGATAAAGAATACACTTGCATGCACACGTGAAAATCTAAAATTACTTTAACCAACATTAGCTCTTTGTTGTTTGAGTGAAATAATTGTACAAGTCAAGTAACAATAGTGATTGTATTAGTACATAGGAGAACCATCCTCAAACCATGTTATTGATTTGACAAAAATAGACTCCCATATATATATAATTTTCTTTTTCAGATTGTTGGAATGCATGTTTCGGTAAAAAGATGCAAACATGATATTTAGACAGAGACATGCAATACTAATACATGATGTCAGAAAGAAGAGGGATAAAGAATCCAAGCTCGACTAGATTTGGCTGTGAACTGCTTAAACCTACCATAAAACATTACTATAATTAGTATGACTTTCCCAATTGGACTCCACCGTCCTACAAACCCGTAACTCGCATCTATGCAGCCACCATCGTTCATGTTCAGCCGTCGTTTGCAGCTGTACCCGGTCGTAAACCCCACATTCCCATATGCACTATCGTTACCAATAATAATAAATCAGTAATAAGTATATAGGTAGCTTCCATGGGGGAGAACTTATATAGAAACATACCTTATAACTTCGAGAGTGATGTTAAGGACATTGAAGTTGAGTGGATCACTTCGTAAGTTTTGCCTTTCCGTGATTGAAATGAGAAATATGCAAATCGTTAAAAAGGAAAGCTGTGACACGAACAGCCCACTCTTCTTGTTTTTCTTCTTTTTTTCTTCGGTCAATGGCATAAACAATGTGTATGGAGGAAGATACCTTATCAAAAACGCAATTATGTTTTAACTTATTAATTATTCCCTTAGAATGATTTGATAGAGAAAATGCAAATAATTAATGCTTTTGTGATTGTGAGTATATATGATCATAATTAGTGTCGAGGTCCTCTTGGGGATGAGGAGACGACTCCACACTATCTCGAAGGGACATATTCTATATTATTTTACTGAACTAATTAAAACCATGCACGCACGTGTCAATGTAAGTTTCCTTTTATAGTATATACGTTTTCACCATATATTATTAATAACAAACCTAAATATAACCCATATTTGGAAACATAGGTATACCAAATGTTTGTATTACGAGGAATAACATGTAATAACAGACTTACCAAAAGATCAGTGTTTAAGAAGACGTAAGCCACCAAATTTCCTCTTTGAAAAAGTGAATTTTATTGTATTATTTTGTAACAAGAATAAAAGATATTAAAACCGCACATAAAACAGTCAATTGATAAGTTAATTTACGTCGATTAATTGGTAGATTCCACCAAAGAAATAGACCAATACTAATTCAAAAATGTAGTTCTGCCACCCACTCATAGACGCACTAGGTGGCTACGTGCTTTAAAATTGTTGAAATATATATAAAATATATACAAATAATCAAATATACTATATCTTTTTTTTAAAACATGTTCTTTGAAAAGCTAATCAGCTTCGATATGTGTGAAAATATGTCTAAATTAATAATTATACTACGTTATCCTTAACCTCGTACGTCTCGGCTGGTACGGATAGATTTAAATATTCCAAGTCCACATGCAAAATGCAAAAGATGAATGTGAAGAGAGAGAGAGTTGAAGAAACTTACATCATGAGGACGAAGAGTACCAAAATAGCTGGTGAAAGCTTTGAGATGTCAACGATTGTTTCACCAGTGAATCTCGAGTTCACCACTTGAAACAACGAACCAACCAACTTCTCGTACGAACTCATTCCTTGAAGAGACTCGGAGCTCCACTCAAAGGTACAGAAGAAAAAGAGTTGAATCATCACAAACCCTAACACTGTCAAGCCAAGAAGAATACAAAGACGAACGGAGAGGAGATGATAGTATCCCATCTTCTTGTGGTTCTTGAGAATATAACCAAACTCGTCACGCTTTGTGATCTTGTAAAGTCCCCAAATGAACAAGACCAAGAAGCAAGGAAACATAGTGTTTCCCATTAGAACTTGAGGGATAAGGAGCCAGAGAAGGCCTGAGTTCTTGCGGAGTATGGCCATGTTCTCATTCATTGGGACATATCCACAGTTTGCGAACGTGGAGACAGTTGTGAAGACCGAGAAAAGAAGAGGTGAGATTCCCTTGGAACTAAGAACATCTCTGGCCGTTTTAACAAAGTTTACGTACACAAGAAGCACCATGGAGCCAACTAGGTTTGTTACTAGCTGGTAACCAAGAACCACCGAGTACAAGCTCTTAGATGCCTTCTCATTGATCTGGCTAGGACCCTCAACAAGATCAATATCGTTCTCTAGGTCAATACGGCAATTCTCGATCTTGTTCCGAGGGATGACAAATTTGGTGAGATGGGAGAAATAAAGAACGAGGAAAGATGTGAATATCTCGGCCCCCATGAATATGATGATAGTGATGATAACAAGTTGCGTGTTGGAGAAGACTTCCACGTCGACGGTGGACATGGAAGAGACGGTGATGGCGGAGACAGAAGTGAAGAAGAGGTCTAAGTCATGAAGAGGTGAAGTGGTTCTTGGCTTAGAGATCTTGAGTGCCAAGAAACCTAAAGAGGAAAAGGACAAGAAGTATATTAAGTAGAGGAAGAAGGGGGAACAATGCTTTGCAAGTTCGGTACGGATGATTTTAGATAATTTTGTCCCAATTCTCTTCATTTTGTTTTTTGTTTCTCTTTTTTTTGGGATCGGTGTAAGCATTATTCTAGGCCATAGCATGTTTATATACTAGACCATTCTCATTATTCGTTTTAGTATATAATAAAAGTGACTTTAAGCAAAAATGAATACGTGTCGTCATAACGCGTTAAATCAGTGTGGGTTATATCATTATTTTTTCCTTCTTATCTTATTATATAGAGTTCTAGGGAAGAGAAACCAATATTAAAATAAATCACAATATAGGAATAATTGCACTGGAACACATTTTTTAAACTTTATTTGCCTTATGACACATTTAGGAGTTTATGGTATATTTTGTGTGAGTGTTCATACTCTCCAATCTTCACTCATTCCATTTATTTACTCATTTGTCATCATAAGTTTTTGTTTTTTGATTTCTCTCTTTTTCTCCTCAACATTTTCTTTTTATTATAATTCTCTCCTTTTTATTTTTTATTTTCGTATTTAAAAAGAATGTTTTTCTAAAAAAGAAAAATATGTGTGTTGTTGTACGATACAATGTAGTTGTTTTGTTTTTTTACTTAGCTTTGTCCAGTGGGCTTGGTGTTTGTGTTCAACTTGATTTGGATACCCTTTTATTTCATTGACCAAACCACTAAACACCCTAATTACCTTACCAGAGATCTACGTCGGCGATCAATCCGCCTTTCCAGTTGACAGCCATTCGAGTTAATCATCGATCTATGTAACCACCATCGATTCTCAGTCCTCGATTTGATTCCGACTCACCGTTCCCTTTATTTCTCGTTTTGATTTCGACGATTTCTCTTCTCTTGATTTCACAAAACCTTCTCAATCCCCTACTAAGAGAAATAGAAGGTTTGAGAAATTTGTTAGTGGAACGATTGAAAGGGGTTCACCAGAAGCAAACTCAAAATTTTGATAATAATATTAAATAAATCATGGTTTAGTGATTTCTGTACTCTTAATTTGATCAAGGTTAGTCAATCACTCAAAATTCCACCTCTATCTTTAAATTATGATTTCTGTAGAATTATTGAGTTCAAATTTATTCTAACAATTTAAATCATCATGACCAAGGTGATATTTTAGGTATTTATTCGATTAAGCTTAATTAGTCAACGAATCCTTCCATCATGAATCCCAGAAATTTAATTTAGAATTATTGAGTTGAATTTTGATCTAAAGAATTTTAATTGATTTATAATTATTGGCCAGCTTCCCCATACTTCATTACTAAATTATTATTTTTTTCATTTTTTCTTTTTACTCTTATACTATAATGTAGTAGCACATTCATAATTTTATTTTTGATTACAATTGTTTTCTAAGTGATAGCTCTAGTTTTATTTTAATTTGTAAATTCTAACATGATTAGAGTTAGTTTAATCATCCAAATCAAAGACTAGACCAATTAAACCTATTAGATTAGTATAAATAAATCAAAAACTGAACAATGATTCGTATCCGAATTTTTTTTGTTTAACTGTATAAAGTAACAAAGCTTAAATAGTTGTGTGATGGGTCTGAAAAGGTATGCAACTATTTGTGAAATAAAATTGATTTACTTGACTAAGTTATCAACTTCGTCAGTAAAGAACAATATACTCCTTATATTATATATTTCATAAATTGTTACAATACTAACAATAGATGCAAACTACATTATACAAACTTATAATACATCATCACACAAAAAAAAAGAAGAAATACTAATTAACTTACGAGCCTAATGTTTATTATACATTTATTATATATGATATATGTTATGAAGAGGAAGGGTAAAGTATCCATGCTCGACCAGATTTGGCTGTGAACTGCTTAAACCTACCATAAAACATTACTAGTATTAGTACAAATTTTCCGGTTGGACTCCATCGTCCTGCGAATCCATAACCCGCGTCTTCGCAGCCACCATCGTCGACGTGCAGACGCCGTTCACAGCTATACCCGGTCGTGAAACCAACGTTTCCATATGCACTGTCGTTACAATAATTCATTTAGTTGTTACTATCAAGCATAGAGTTCATAGCTTTCATGAAACGACTTTTATATATATATATCTATGTCTTTAAAGTCTATGTCAAATGTCACACACTCACACACAAGTCTGATTCTACATCGATTGAGAGGGATTTTGCATAAGGCCCAAATACTTTTACAGCACATTCATAAATTTTCTAGGGTCGTTTTGTGAAATTTATTATCATATACCTAAAAAACTAATACCAAAGTTTTGTAAGCATTTTTAAATAAATTGGTTTACAAAGATTTTAATTTGGTCATGCACTAGCTACTAGGTTAACTTATCAATGCCCTCTTATAATTTTTGAACTTTCCGTGATCTATATTATAATATGGATGCAAAACATTTTAAAACACATACCTGATAACTTCTAGAGTGATGTTAAGGACGTTGAAGTTGAGTGGATCTCTTCTTAGTTTTTGCCTTTCGGTGATTGAAATGAGAAATATGCAAATCGTCAAAAAGGAAAGTTGTGACACGAACATGCCACCCTTTATTACATTCTTTCCATTTCCGGAATCATCTTCTCCTTCACTCTTTATCATCTTTTGTTCGGTCAATGGCACAAATAATGTGTATGAAGGAAGATACCTTTGTCAAAAAACGCAATTATACATTTTTACTTATTAGTCGCAAGAAATGTTTATACAGAAAAACCAAAGAATAATGCTTTGTGAATATATGATGAACTGGAAACTGAGACATTCTCCACTACCTCAAAGGGACACATTTTTATTTTAAATTTTAATTTACTGAATCTAAAACGATGGACATATTCTAACTCACTACTTCAAATCTTGTCTACCACATATTCTTGGAGGTTCGTTTTTGGTTGTTATAAAATATTCCCAAAACTTTCTTAAGCAAAAACACCTTAAATAAATTTTTTAATTTTAGTTAGTGGAGAACTTTTTAAACTATTTATAGTTTTCACCTATATGGTGAATCTCGAATCTTACTTTCTCAATCCAGATCAGTGAATACTTCTAACTAAATGATTTAATGTTCTAAGCTAATTGATTGGTGGATTTAGCCAAAGTAATAGCACTAAAACTAATGCAAATGTTTGGTTCTACTTCTACCACCTTATTCATAAGTGCATGATAATATATTGGCATTACGGGATAAATAATCTTGAAATAAAACAGTAAATGTTTGTTTTGGTAAAATATTAAACAATAATTGTTAGGAAAATTTTTACTTTATACAAAAGTTAGGTAAATGATTTCATAATTTTCCAAACTATTTGAGACAATATGCACATGCATGCATAGGATATGTTTGGTGTGTAGTATAAAGTCTGCCACCTTTCATGTGGTGGCCTTTTATTGTATTGGATCGTATATTAAAAAGCACTACCTCAATATATTCGACATTACTAGTGCACTTTTTCGAGCTAAATAATTAATTTAGAGTCCATGCAAATGTATTGATATATGAGGAAATGAGTAAAAGCAACTCACATCATTAGGGTGAAAAGTATCAAGATAGCTGGTGAAAGTGTAGAGAGGTCGACAATAGTTTCCCCACTATGTCTCGAATTGACCACTTGAAATAACGATCCAACCAGCTTCTCGTATGAGCTCATACCTTGGAGAGACTCAGAGCTCCACTCAAAGGCGCAAAAGAGAAGAAGCTGTATCGTTAGAAACCCTAACACTGTTAATCCAAGAAGAAAACAAAGACGAACCGAGAGTAGATGAGAGTATCCCATCTTCTTGTGGTTCTTGAGAATGTAACTAAACTCTTCACGCTTTGTGATCTTGTAAAGTCCCCATATGAGCATAACCAAGAAGCAAGGGAACAAAGTGTTTCCCATTAGTACTTGAGGGATTAAGAGCCAGATGAGACCAGAGTTCTTGCGAAAGATGATCATGTTCTCATTCGTTGGAACAAATCCGCAGTTTGCGAATGTAGAGACAGTTGCGAAGATGGAGAAGGTGAGAGGTGAGATGTCTTTGGAACTAAGAACATCTCTCGCAGATTTAACAAAGTTAACGTAAACAAGAAGCAACAAAGAGCCAACTAGGTTTGATACAAGATGGTAACTAAGAACCACCGAGTACAAGCACTTAGATGCCCTTTCATCGATCTTGCTAAGACGATCCTCGCAATGATCTACTACAGTCTCGAGGTCACTTTGGCCTTCCTCGATTGGTCGGTCCATATTAAAAGAATTTATAAGATGTCTAATCTTGTTATGAGGGAAGACAAAGTTAGTGAAATGGGAATAGTAAAGGCTGAGAAAAGATGTGAAGATTTCGCCGCCAAGGAACATGAGGACAGTGAGAAAGATAAGTTGGATGTTGGAGAAGACTTCCATGTCAATGGTGGACATGGAAGAGACAGTGATGGCAGAGACAGAAGTAAAGAAGAGGTCCAAGTCATAAGGACGTGAAGTGGTTCTTGGCTTTGTAATTTTGAGTGCCAAGAACCCTAAAACAGAGAAGAATATGAAGTAGATGAAGTAGAGGAAGAATAGTGAAGTAGATTTAGTAAGATGCGATCGGAGTTTAGCTAATTTTGCAGCAACTCTCTCCATTTTAGTTCTTGAGTTGGTCTATGCATTATTATTGGCCTTAAGGTGTGTTTACATATAATAGACCATTACACGTACATGAAACCTTGTCAGCCACATATAATATGTGGAATATTCCTGACATGATAGCAATATAATATTTTTTAGGTCGTCATGTCGTTTTTTCCAATAGATTTTCTCAATTCCAATTTCGAAGGAATAAGATACACAAATTCAACACGAAATGATAAGAAAAACAAATTTAGAAATAACTATTTAGTTGAACGTGGCAAAATTCTCTTCCTTAATTTGTATAAAAAGAATTATTCTCTAAAATTTTGTATATGCTCCAAAATATATCTTTCCCTGATTATATGGATTTTATTTTCAACATTTTAGATATTCTATTTTAATATAAATAAAACGAATAAAAAAACAAATTACATGTAATAATTCTTGAGAGGAAAAGTGTTGGCAAGGATGAGAATGCATGATTAAACTTCGTAGACAAATTTATTTGGTTTCCAAGATGGATGCATAAGTGGTAGTCTAAAAGGCTTCCATAGGCATGCCTTGTTTTGTACTCATAGGTCATATAGGATTCCATTAGTTAGATAATGTCTATATATAGTGTGCTCTCCAAGAGTAGCTGCTTATGGTAGACAGGCCCTGCAAGTACTAAAGCCATTTAATGTGGCTTAAGACTATGAAGGTTAGCAACAAATGGTGTGTATATCGTCTTTATTGGATCCGGATTTGATACACATGCATGTTCAAATCATTTGATCAATGTATGTGTTCATATAAGCTTGACTCTTAGGTCTCTAGTGAAAAAGAAGTTGTTTGATGTATCAGAGTTATTCGAAAGAGATGATATTTGGCTTGACACACAGAATTGTAAGCTAGAGTTCGTCGATCTAGCGAGTATGAACAACATGGAATACAAGATAGCAAAAAGACTTTGACAATGGATGAAGTAACTCAAAGGAACTATAGTAGAACTAGAAGGAACAAGGTAATATATGAAAATAATCAACAAGATATGTTAAACCTTTATACATTAGGAGTATCATGTTGTACCATATTGCATAATATTTTTTTTAAAAAGTTTCTTGAGAGATTTATGCGCACGAGGAGTAATCTGTTGAATATATATGATAGGGGACCATTGGTAAAATCTAGGAAGTGATACAATATAATATTTAAATCATGATGTAATCAATCACTTGCTAGGTGGCCACTTATAAAACGTTATAACATATTCAAAAACTCTTTTAAAAGTGAAATTAATTTCGAGCTTTGATGTAGATGTTGGCAATAGAGGAAGAACATGGTATGTTTCATCTTACTCAAATGCGTTTAGCACTAGAACAATGCTTTCCTTTATTATATAAAATGTTATTGTTGACAATATATATATATATATATATATATATATATATATATATAATGTTATCTTTCTGATAGGTTAAATTTATATTATTCCGAGCCACCAAAATGTTTGCTGGATTTAAACCTTAAGAATCGAAGAAAGGTAACATTATATTAAATGTAGTAAAAGTTACAGTATACATATCACTAATGAGCAAGAAAAATAAAAAGACGAAAGGTCACTTAGTTTTGTATAGAACCCATTTCGTAAGTGACCTCTCTTTTAGTGTCTTTTAGATTCGTCTAGCTGTCTTGATTTATCAGATTTTAACGATGGGAACATTTCAATAGGACAAAACCTTGTAAACGTGTACTTATGAATACTACTAGTTTTGTCACCATTTTCTTAATATATATTACCACAAGAAATATGGGCGATTTTAGCACACGAAAAACGTTATATTATCATTTAGATAGCATTTTCATAAACACCGTGTTTTGTGACCATTTTCTTGGTATATATGATTTAGACATCAAGGATAAGACTAGAGATTTGTTGATTCTTAGAATACCTGAAAATCTAGAGTTTGAGAGTCCTCCTCTCAGAACTTTCGCAAAAGCTCTTGGGTTCGTGAGTACTCTTCACAGTGGTTTATAAAAGCTTTTTTAAATCTTTCGATTAATCAATTCATCAATAAACTCAATACAATATGAGAGACCTAAGAAGGCTATTTATGATAAAGCATAAAACCCTAGAACTCAGAATATTCCTAAAATAATTATAATAAATAATTAAAAAATAATAAGAATATATATTTGGAATATTTCCAAATATCTCGCTGCATCAGGTCTCGCCGGCCAAGAAAAGATTTGTTCTTGAGTCTTGTATTTGCACTGCATCAATATTCTAGAAAATGCGCCTATCCAACCTATATATTATTACTACGGACAATTTCAGGAATTTACTTGTGGTTTCGTCTACATTCAGGTTTATTTCAAGAGATATGTTGTAAACCCAAAATGAGACGCATATTTAATCTAAAGGGTTTTATATAAAAAAATAACCCTCAAATCGCTACTTTTTATAACATTACTTTTCACATCCAGAAAATGCAAATAAATCACACAGCGTCAAAAATAATAAGTGTGATCACATATATAAGTTCAATGATTAATAATGATAATTATTCATCAATGCATGATCACATATATAAGTTCAATGATTAATAATGATAAATATTCATCAATGTATATGTAAACACGTAACCACAACATATATAACACAAGCACATTCATCATATCATCCGAAGAAGTAGTCTTCACATAACAAGATGGCTCATAAGTCCCTTGAATGTCACTACTATCCAATAGTAAGGTTATGTAACATATTCAAGACCTAATGTCACTACTATTCCATAGTAAGGTTCTGTAACATATTCAAGATCTCTCACTCCCCATCTTCAGGTATGTTGGTTTCAGGTAGTCAAATCATAATATCATGAAGTATCTTCGAATCAAATTTGAAGTACGCATATGTTCTTTTTTTTTTTTTTTTTTTTTTGTTGAAGGAACCCATTAAAATGCTAATCTAATTAATTGAAGTAAACTTTGGTAACTAAGGAAAAAGTCATGGTCGTGTGCTTCATGGAGCATGATAGACAAGCCAGATGTGAATAATGCATAAAGCATGATAGATTGTGACATTCTTAAAACATTAGTCTCTCTTAAAAGTTCCCTAAGTTATTATAATCCACAAGTGCAATAATTAAGATCAACTTGCCTTATTTAACTCCTTTAATTAAGAAGTCTTCTCGCACATGATACTATATAAAATAAATTTTCAAAGATAGGGCAACATCAATATCGTGAAGACGTGAACGTGTCTCTAACACTATCAGTCTATCACCATGAGATTAAAAGATGAATGTGTACTAATTGTGGTTTCTAATTTGTAATTTATTCTCTGTCTTTTCCCACTAACTTTGGAGATTAGTGGTCCATCACAAATCAGATGCTAACAGTCTTCAACAACTTACAGTTTCTCTTCTTTCAAAACCCACATTTTCGATTTTTATGGAATATTACGTGAATACCACTTTTATTATCATCTTAACTTTAAACCTTTTCACAAATAAATAAATTATCAACTAAACTTTAGACAATACGAAGTAATATATGTTTGTGTTGAACTTCGAATGATTTTACTACTTCTGTACGTTACAAGAAAACATCGTATAATCCTACCAAATTTTCTACGTTTTTTTTGCCGTAGAGAATCTAATGTATTTTTGTAACGATCTTTCCAATTTCAACTAAAAGCTAACACTCGAGAAAAAACCGCAAACACAAAAATATAGTTTATTACAATTTCACCTTTAAAATATAACGTTTGACCGCGGGTGAATAAAAATTCTAACATATTTCAATAGTTTAAAATAAGATATTGGACCATATTTGAGATTAGTAGAAACAATAAGGTCTTAACATTTACGCACACAAAAAAAAGGTTTTGTAGTAGAAAATCGATCATATATATTCTTGTAGTATATGGAATGTCCTGAATTAGTTTTACTAGTCATTTAAGAAGCACAAAAGTTTCATCTATCTCAAATTCTTTTGCATTAAAAATATAAGATTATTTTGCTATATATCGGCCGTTAGTCGCAGCGACTGCGACAATTCATCACAAGATTACTTTTGGATCTCTTTGGTTTCTTCTTCGTTTCTTTGAATTTTTCTCGCAGCGATCAAAATCATTAAAATCTGAAGTCGCCAACAATACATCCCAAAGCTTTGATCTGAGACCGCGACTATCGCAAGTATTTTTTGTTTAACAAATCTCTCTTACAAATCAAACTGCCATTGACAAATAATTTTTCAGATCTGTATTTTTCTTATCTTCTTCTCCTCAATCGTTTTAGTTTTAGTCGTGACAAGAGTCATTTGATAAGAATATATTTTGGTTCAATTTGAAGAATCATTGTTCAATTTGAAGAATCATTTGATAAGAATATATTTTGGTTCATCAAAAGCAAACTCAAAAATTTTAAATCATGGTTTCGATGATTTCTGTACTCTTAATTTGATCAAGATTATATAGTCAATGACTCAAAATTCCACCTATATCTTTAATTATGATTTCTGTAGAATTATTGGGTTCAAATTTGTTCTAAACAATTGAAATCATCGTGATCAAGGTGATATTTCAGGTCTTTATTCGATTAAGGTTACTTAGTCAACGAATCCTCCCATCATGAATCTCAGAAATATAATTTAGAATTATTGAGGTGAAATTTGATCTAAATTTTTTTAATTGATTTATAATTATTGGCCATCTTCCCCAACCTGATACTTCATTACTATAGATTAAATTGTTTTTCATTGTTTCTTTTAAATCTTATATAATGTGGTAGCAGTTTGCCCAAAAAAACTATGTATATATATATATATATATATATATATATATAATGTAGTAGCACATTCATAATTTTATGTCTGATTAGAATTATTAGAATTATTATATATATATATATAAGTGATTGCTCTAGTTTTATTATAATTTTAAAATTCTAACATGATTAGAGTTAGTTTTTTTATCGTCTTTAGATTTATTAATTCGTTGAAAAAAAGATTTAATCTTGGACACCATCTTCTCCTTCAATAGCTAGATTCACGGCGAACGGCTCTAATTGCGCATCACTGGAGATTTCTTGTAAACTTGTCTCCATTAATCTGCAGAAATATTAATAAATCGCTATCTGGGGTTCGAATCCTAGACCTCCTGGTGTAGAAGCATTAATTAAACCCTTGGTCAACACCATTGGGTCAAAGGGGCTTCTCCGATTAGAGTTAGTTTAATCATCCAAATCAAAGAATAGATCAATTAAACCTATAAAATTAGTATAAATAAATCAAAAACTGAACAGTGATTAGTATCCAAATTTTGCGTTTAATTGTATAAAGTAACAAAGCTAAATTAGTTGTGTGATGGGTCTGAAAAGGTATGCAACTATTTTAGTAGAGAAGATTGATTTACTTGAATAAGTGATCAACCAATTCATTTCATCAGTAAGGAACAATAGAGTATCTATTCACTTGAAAATAAACTCATAATTAAAATGTTACTATAATAATGATGGATGCAAAACTACATTATACAAACTTATAATACATCACGCACAAAAAGAAGAAATACTAATCAACGCGACATACGAGCCTAATTTTTATCATACATTTATTAGATATGGATAAATGTTAGGAAGAGCTAGGAAGGATAAAGTACCCAAGCTCGGCCAGATTTGGCTGTGAACTGCTTAAACCTTCCATAAAACATTACTAGTATTAGTACAAATTTTCCGGTTGGACTCCATCGTCCTGCGAATCCATAACTCGCGTCTTCGCAGCCACCGTCGCTGACGTTCAGACGCCGTTCACAGCTATATCCGGTCGTGAAACCAACGTTTCCATATGCACTGTCGTTATAACAATTCATATGTTGTTACCGTCAAGCATTGAGTGGTCATAGCTTTCATGAAATGAAATAATCTTATGGGTCACTCATGTCCTTTATATAACTATGTAAAGCCCGATTATCCACATGGATTTCGAGTGATAGGCCCAAATAGTTTCAAGCATGCCTTTTCTTTATACCAAACTTTTGTAAGCATTTCATATAAATATGTCTACAAAGATTTTAATATATATAGTCATGCATGTACCAGCATGCATATGTATGGTTTTGTAGATCTTAGGAGAATGTATATATATTATAATATGGATGCAGAAACATGTGAAACATACCTGATGACTTCTAGAGTAATGTTAAAGACGTTGAAGTTGAGTGGATCTCTTCTTAGTTTTTGCCTTTCGGTGATTGAAATGAGAAATATGCAAATCGTCAAAAAGGAAAGTTGTGACATGAACAGCCCACTCTTCATCACGTTCTTTCTATTTCCGGAATCATCATCTTCTTCTTTCTTTATCGTCTTTTGTTCTGTCAACGGCATAAGTAACGTGTATGGAGGAAGATACCTAGCTTGTCAACAACGTACGCAATCGTATTTTTACTTATTAGATTAAGAATAATATGCTTTGTTAAAAATATGCTTTTGTGAATATGATGCATTGTGGAGACTGAGACATTCTCCACTACGTACCTCGAAGGGACATTTAAAAAAAAAAAATTATTTTACTGAATCTTAAACGATGGACTTATTTTTGTTCTCCACATATTCTTGGAGGTTCCTCTTTGGTTATTATAAAACATTCCAAAAAATTCTTCAAAAATTTTACTTTTAAGTAGTGGAGAACTTTTTCAAGTTATGTATTATGATGATAATAACTTTGTTTTTTAAGTTTCATAGTGTAATGTTTTCTGAAAAATACATATACTTAATTAAGAGTGCAACTTTTTATATTAATAACTTTTTTTAATAACGAACGATTATTAAAGTCAATTCTAATATGACTAATTATTTGTTATCTATACGTAAACCTATTATAAATAAGACTAATATGCTTATAGCTATGATTATATATGATTGAATGAGTTTCAGTTTACATAAATTTGATTGAACGAGTTTGAGTTAATATAAATATGATTATATTTTTTCTTACGGGCAGTTTACACACAAAATATTTTAGTCTAAAATAAAATGAGTTAAATGAAAGATGTTACGCCATCATCATATCATTATTTGAAATATTATACATACTTAATTAAGTTGATTAAATTATGGTTATATATAGGGAGAATTTCAAAAATACCCCTTTTCCAATACCACTTTTTAAAAATACCCTTCTTTCTAATTTTATCAAAATGTCACTATAAAATTTGAAATTTCTCAAAAACATATGTGTAAACTTATATTTATAGACACAAATTATCTTTATATGTGTGTAAATTTATATATATATATATATTTCATAAATACTGTATAAATACCTTTTAAAAATCTTTTAAAAACCATTTAAAACCCTTATTAAAACTATATAAACCTTTTAAAAACCTTATAAAAACCTTATAAATGCCGTTTAGAACCTTTTAAAACCTTATAAATATTTGGATTTAGTCTTCCAGTAGTAATGATGATCTTGATGTACCTTATCAACCATATAAAAGTTTATAATATTTCATATTGGAAAAAGGGTATTTTTGAAAATGGATAGAAAAGAGGGGTATTTTTAAAAAGGATACACCAAAAAGGGCATTTCTCATAAATTCTCTTATATATAACAAAACAATTTGTCATGTTGTATTCCACAGGTTAAATCATATAATTAACAATCACAATATCATTGTACAATCTTAAATACTTAAAAATTAATAAACAAATACGACTTAAAAAAAATTAGTTACAAAAATTATCCAACAAGTTTATAAGTAATAAAATTCACAATCAAAATATAATTACACAATTTTAAACATTAAGCAAAATTAAAAAAAAAATATAATTTAAATATAAAAATTTTAGTCAAAAAATCGTCCCGCGGTATACCGGAAGTTAAAACCTAGTTATATTTAAAAACTTAAGACATCTTTTAAGGGTCTTAAGTTTTAAAATAATAATAATAATAATAATAATAATAATAATAATAATAATAATAATAATAATAATAATAATAATAATAATAATAATAATAATAATAATAAATAAATAAAAATGAGGAAAGAGAAGAACTAGTGTCAACCCACAGACATTAAATTTTCTTTCAAAGACACTATAAGCTAGATGTCATACTGTCATTAGTATAATGTTTTTGATAATTTAATAATTATTTGTTTAATTCAATTAAATTATAAAGACCCTCATTCTTTATATGTCCAATGAGAATGCTCACATTGGAGATATCTCGTTAGAGAATATTCTCCACTAAAAAGAATGGGAAAAGAGGAGAGAGGACATATATGTTTCTCGTTTGAAACTCTTTAAAAACCTATATCTACACTTGTCATATTTTCATTCGTTTATCAAATAGATAATAAAATCATATTAAAAATAGTGTAAAGAAAAAAAAATAATGCACTATGAAGAGCACTATCTCTATTGTTTTAATTTTATTTTATTCGACATTATTAGTGCATTTTTTCGTGCAAATGCAATGATATATGAGGATAGGAGGATTGAAAGAAACTCACATCATAACTATGAAGAGTATCAAGATAGCTGGAGAAAGTGTAGAGAGGTCGACAATGCTTTCCCCGGCGTGTCTCGAATTCACCACTTGAAACAACGATCCAACCAACTTCTCGTACGAACTCATTCCTTCGAGAGACTTGGAGCTCCACTCAGAGGTGGCAAAGAGAAGAAGCTGTACCATTAGAAACCCTAACACTGTCAATCCAAGAAGAACACATACACGAACGGAGAATAGATGAGAGTATCCCATCTTTTTGTGGTTCTTGAGAATGTAACTAAACTCTTCTCGCTTTGTGATCTTGTAAAGTCCCCAAATGAACAACACCAAGAAACAAGGGAACAATGTGTTTCCCATTAGTACTTGAGGGATTAAGAGCCAGAGGAGACCAGAGTTCTTGCGAAAGATGACCATGTTCTCATTCGTGGGGAGAAATCCGCAGTTTGCAAACGTGGAGACAGTGGTGAAGACGGAGAAGGTGAGAGGTGAGATTCCTTTGGAACTAAGAACATCTCCCGCAGATTTAACAAAGTTTACGTACACAAGAAGCAACACAGAGCCAGCTAGGGTTGATACAAGATGGTAACTAAGAACCACATAGTACAAGCACTTAGAAGCCCTTTCATCGATCTTGGTAAGATTAACCTCACAATGATCTACTACAGTCTCGAGGTCACTACGGCCATCTTCGACCGGACGGTCCAAATAAATAAAAGAGGCCAGAAGATGTCTAATCTTGCTATGAGGTAAGACGAACTTGGTGAAATGGGAAACGTAGAGGCTGAGAAAGGAAGTGAAGATCTCGCCTCCTAATAACATAAGGGTAGTGAGGATGATAAGTTGTGTATTGGAGAAAACTTCCATTTCAACAGTGGACATGGAAGAGATGTTAATGGCCGAGACAGAAGTGAAGAAGAGGTCCAAGTCATGAGGACGTGAAGAGACTCTTGGCTTTGTAAGTCTAAGTGCCAAGAACCCTAAAAAGGAGAAGAACAAGAAGTAGATGACGTATAGAAAGAATAGTAAACTAGACTTAGTAAGCTGCGAACGGATTTTAGCTAGTTCCGCCGCAGCTCTCTTCATTTTAGTTTCTTGAGTCGCTCTGTCTATGCATTATTATTATTGGGCTTAGTGTGTAAATATATATATTACAGTCACAGATCATTAGACATTTAGACGTACATGAACATTGTCATGAGCCTTATGTAATATGTGGACCATTACTGACATGATAGCAATATGACATATTTTAGTTATCATGCACGTCGTTCTTTTCCAGATATTTGCTCTTTCCAGTTTCGAAGGAATAAGATTTATAGATTCTATGTCGACAAAAAAAAAATAAAAAATAAAAAAAAAGTGCTAATAGCTCAATTGGTAAAATCTCTCGCAAAAGTTCAAAGGTCGCGGGTTCGAGTAGCGTTTGGAACGAAACCATATAACATGTTATGGTTTCGGGTCTGAATGGATATATATGTTTCGGTCCAGAATCTCTTTAATTATTCGGAAAAAAAAATATATAAAAATTCTATATAAATGAGAGGAAAATTGAATATAGAAGAAATGATTATTTCAGTTTACGTGCCAAACTTCTCTATTATTTGTTTGCTCCAAATTATTTCTGTGACCAAAATCATAACATGTGGTGAAATAAAACATTAATTGACGAACAGAGACATGTGCTTGTGGGGGTGAATACAAAGACATGAACGATCAGCATAGCCTTTAAATTTTATAACACCCTGTTGTGATAATAAATCAGACAACCGACAAAATCTTATCCATTTGACATTTTCCTCACACCTTTCTTGATTGATAAATCAAAATTTATCATTAGAGTTTTTATGCAAGTAACTAACATATATCACTTTTTTACTATTCAATCTTCCTCTATATCACGCTTAAACCAATCACTCACCTAGACAAAAAAGTGATATATGACTTTATTTATATATATATATATAGAAAATGATTGGTTACTATTTGTATGATACATTATACATGCATGCAAAGTTTATAATTATTAGGATTACAAAAGGAAAGACAAGATGACAAAATACTCCTTGATGATTGATTATAGCATTATAATTTCATAAATTGTTACAATACTATAACGATAGATGCAAACTACAAACAAACTTATACTACAAAAGAGAACAAGAAGAAAAACAAATCTTATAGTACATATTTCATACACAAAAAGAATAAACCTTAGCTAACGTGACATTCGATAGACTAGTGCTTACTATATATATGGTGATGTTAGGAAGAGGTAGGATAAAGTATCCATGCTCGGCCAGATTTGGCTGTGAAGTTCTTAAACCTACCATAAAACATTACTATTATTAGTACAAATTTTGCATTTGGACTCCATCGTCCTGCGAATCCATAACTCGCGTCTTCGCAGCCACCATCGCTGATGTTGAGACGCCGTTCACAGCTATACCCGGTCGAGAAACCAACATTTCCAAATGCACTGTCGTTACAATAGTTAGTTTTTTTTTTGTTACTATCATGCAAAGAGTTCACAGCTTTCATGAAATGGTATATTTTTTCTTTTTCTTCTTTTTGGTCAAACCCATATATATATACAATGTATCCTTTATATTTTAATTCTATGTCACATCACATACAACACAAGCCCGACATGGGTTGAGAGTACTTTTGCATATAACAAAACTATATAAATTAAGGCCCAAATATTTATAGAAAATTTTCTTCATAACTTACATTAAGCACATTCCTAAATATTTTTAGGCTCTTTTTTATTATGAAATTACTTATCATATATATACCGGAAGAATTTACAATAGTAATATGGATGCAGAATATGTGAAAACATACCTGATAACTTCTAGAGTGATGTTAAGGACGTTGAAGTTGAGTGGATCTCTTTGTAGTTTTTGCCTTTCGGTGATTGAAATGAGAAAGATACAAATCGTCAAAAAGGAAAGTTGTGACACGAACAGCCTATGATATGTCACATTCTTTCTATTTTCGGAATCATCTTCATCATCTCCTTCTTTCTTTATCGTCTTTTGTTCTGTCGCCAAGGGCATAAGTAACGTGTATGAAGGAAGATACCTTGTCAACGCAATTATATTTTAACTTATTAGTCCCACGAATTGTTTTACAGAAGAACAAAGATAATGCTTTGTGTATATATAATGTTTTCATTTGTTATTTTTGCTGATTCTAAAACCATAGAGTACTATAAGCTAAATGGACCGCGTCGGCTAAACTCAACGTAAAGTTAGTAAAATAGTGTTTATATACTTCTACGTTACTACGCACGTACCACCTACTCATAAGTGCATGATTTATTGTTACGTGCTATAGAATCTAGGATAAGACAATAAACGTTTGCTTTGGTAAACATTAAACAATAATTTTTAGGAATATAGTTATAGAAAGTTCTTTCTTTTGTTAAAATCAACTTTATGTAAAAGTTAGGCAAATGATTTAATAATTTTCCAAACTATGTGAGACAATATGCGCATTCAGAGGATATGTTTGGTGTTTCTGTAGTATAAAGTCAGCCAACTTTCATGTGGTAGCCTTTATTTTGTATTGTATCGTATTAAAAAGCACAATCTCAATTGATTTAGTTTAACTTATTCGTTAAAAGAAAAAGGCAAGATGCCTTAACTTGTACGTGTTATAAGTAACTTCACCTATGTGTATGTAGATGCATAGTGCATGTGAACATTTTACAGTGAATTATATGAGTCCATTAGTGCACTTTTTCGAGTTAAATAATTTGAGTCCATGCATGATATATGAGGAGAGGAGTGAAAGAAACTCACATCATAACTATGAAGAGTATCAAGATAGCTGGGGAAAGTGTAGAGAGGTCGACAATGCTTTCCCCGGCGTGTCTCGAATTCACCACTTGAAACAACGATCCAACCAACTTCTCGTACGAACTCATTCCTTCGAGAGACTTGGAGCTCCACTCAGAGGCGGAAAAGAGAAGAAGCTGTACCATCAGAAACCCTAACACTGTCAATCCAAGAAGAACACATACACGAACGGAGAATAGATGAGAGTATCCCATCTTTTTGTGGTTCTTGAGAATGTAACTAAACTCTTCTCGCTTTGTGATCTTGTAAAGTCCCCAAATGAACAACACCAAGAAACAAGGGAACAATGTGTTTCCCATTAGTACTTGAGGGATTAAGAGCCAGAGGAGACCAGAGTTCTTGCGAAAGATGACCATGTTCTCATTCGTGGGGAGAAATCCGCAGTTTGCAAACGTGGAGACAGTGGTGAAGACGGAGAAGGTGAGAGGTGAGATTCCTTTGGAACTAAGAACATCTCCCGCAGATTTAACAAAGTTTACGTACACAAGAAGCAACACAGAGCCAGCTAGGGTTGATACAAGATGGTAACTAAGAACCACATAGTACAAGCACTTAGAAGCCCTTTCATCGATCTTGCTAAGACGATCCTCGCAATGATCTACTACAGTCTCGAGGTCACTTTGGCCTTCCTCGATTGGTCGGTCCATATTAAAAGAATTTATAAGATGTCTAATCTTGTTATGAGGGAAGACAAAGTTAGTGAAATGGGAATAGTAAAGGCTGAGAAAAGATGTGAAGATTTCGCCGCCAAGGAACATGAGGACAGTGAGAAAGATAAGTTGGATGTTGGAGAAGACTTCCATGTCAACGGTGGACATAGAAGAGACGGTGATGGCCGAAACAGAAGTGAAGAAAAGGTCCAAGTCATGAGGACGTGAAGTGGTTCTTGGCCTTGTGATTTTGAGAGCTAAGAACCCTAAAACAGAGAAGAACAAGAAGTAAATGAAGTAGAGAAAGAATAGTGAACTAGGTTTTGTAAGCTGCGAACGGATTTTTGCTAATTTCTCCGCAACTCTCTCCATTTTAGTGTTCTTGAGTGGGTCGGTCTTCTATGCATTATCATTGGTCTTACGGTGTGTTTATATAGTACTTATTACACGTACATGAACATTGTCAGCCACATATAATATGTGGACTATTTATTTACTAACATGATTGCTATATAACATTGCCTGCCGAAAGATTTTCTCTTTTTATAAAGGAATAAGATATATAAATTCTACACGAAATGGGAGGAGAAAAAATATATACAAATACCCTATTTTTTTGACGTGGCAAAATTTTCTCCCATAATATGAATGCAAAGAATGAAAGAATTATTCTTTAATATTCTGTCTGCTCCAAAATATTTCATTCCGGCATCTGATCATTTATTTTAATATGAAGAAAACAAATAAATAATTATATAAATTGCAATTCTCAAAATCATATATATAAAAGTAAGGTTTCACTCTCTCCTTATTGGTGGAAAAATATTTAAGACTTTAATTTAAAAAAAAAAAAAAAAAAATAAATGTTTATGACAATCATTCAATACAAAATTTAATTACACCATAACTTATAATCAAAAGGCAAAGAAAATGAAAGAACTTAATCATATATCATTCAACAAAATAAATAAATAAATAAATGTTTATGACAATCATTCAATACAAAATTTAATTACACTATAAGTTATAATCAAATGACAAAGAAAATGAAAGTACTTAATCATATATCATACAACAAATTTTATAAGGGCTATTGGTGGAAAATTATTTAAAATCATATATATAAAAGTAAGGTTCCACTCTCTTTATTGTTCCATTTTGTATTTATTTTTTAAAATATAATATTTATTTTTAACCAAAAAAATACATTTAATCATATACATTAATTCATACTTTAAATTCACACTTTACTACTAAAATGAAACTGAAAATTATATAAATTTCCAAAGACTATTGGTTTTCTTTATTGAATTCCATTTAAACACACTATAAATTATAATTATAACTCCTCTAATTTAATTATTTTAAAAATGTAACTTACATCACTTCTTATCATATAAATAGCCATTCTCACATCCTTCTCTACCATATCTCATATCTTCATTATTCTCTTTGATTTTTTTTTAAAGTTCTTGCATGGGGTGAAAACTCATTTAAAATATCATTGTAAGAGTTTGATTAATTATTTAGTTTAAACTTTTGTTTTCAATTTTATTTATTTTTGTTTTTATGTATTTCTTTATGTCTTCATTATTTTTTATATTTTTAAATGTAATACATATGTATAATAATATTTTATGGTTATAAGATAATCAAGCTAAACAAACCATCTTCATTCTTTTACTTTGGATGTTTGTTTCTTTCTCACATATTC